TCATTTAAAATATTTTTAATATATCAATAACATCCTTAAACATAGTCTTTCACTTCTATTAGTATATATTAAAATAGTAGAATTATTATACATTAATTTTTATGTTTTTAAAATTTGGTTTAAATTAACTCTGAAATTCTCTATGAAAAATAAATTGAGAACTCTAAAGTGTACAACTGTTAAATTACATTAAATGAAATTGATTTTCATCTTACTATATATGCATGTACAATATGCACAGAGCAGAGAGAATTGCAAAATCCACATCTATTTGTACTTCCTTATGTCAATTAAACCTTATATGTTGTCAGTTTTATAAACGAGGAAATGCCATTCACCACTTACTCTGTACCACTCCTTTCCTGAACTTGCTGCAACTAAAGGGCAGGTAAAGCAATAAGTGACTCATTCATAGTGAACAAGTAAGGGACTGATGGAGCATTACCTTGGGAAGCCAAACACCCTCTGAGCTGTAAAAATACAGTAACAAATGACATAATCCTTGTTCCTCAGAAATATTTAGACCTGTTTAGGCATTCAAAATATAAAGGTTTACTTTTACAGGTAATGTGCCTTTTCCACAAAGCCAGATATTAATTTAAATATACATTAAAAATACATTTGAACTCTTAATAATTGAAAAAGCAAACAGCATAACATTGTAGGTATAATGGGATAAAGTTACTTTTATAATCATTAACTTCTACCTCTGATCAAATCCCTGGAGACAGTTTAATCCTTAAGGTTACATATACCCTGAAAATAAAGATGGTTCAAAAGCCCTCAAGATGTTGTTTGAGCTCCTCTGTCAGTCTCTGAAACTCCAGGAAAGATCTTATGGTTTTTGCAGAAGCTCTTTCAAAAACCCAGTCCAAGACCACCACTTCTCTGGACCAGCCTTGCCCTGAACTTAATGCCCTTAATGTCCTTGAACAGATTTAGGCTACCTGTAAATGTCAGCTTTTTAAAATGCATGCTTCTTTTTTGAAAGAATTCTTTTGCTTTTGAAGTTATGTCTTTGTTTTACATCTCAGTGCTTTCTAATTTTGTTGGTTTTCTTGCTCCTCTAGTCACACTTCTCTGCAAATAACACACTTTATCGTGACTTTTGGCTCCAAAGCCCGTGTGTGAAAAAATCATGTCTCCAAGTAAAACCTACTGTAAACTCTTGAGCATTATTTCTCTGGATATGCTTCCACCATCATAATTTGATTCACTGTGACTGCACATTCAGAAAAGATGTGTCTTTCTGGGACAGAAGCATCTACAAATTTTATTTTGCAAAGGATTAGTATTAAAAATAAGTGACATACATTTTACTTCCTTAATGTTTTAGTCTGTTCAGCTGCTGTAACAAAATATCTTACACTGTGTATTAGTCAGTACTTACTAGAGTCAGATGTAGAAGAGGGCAAGATGTCTGGAGACCTGAAGGATCCAGTCGAGGGCTTGAAGCCTACAGCAGTATCCAGTGCAAGTCCACATCAGGAGACCAAAGGATCCGCATCGCAAGGCTGAAGGATCTGTGCTGGAAAGGCCCAAGGGCCAGTGCTGGAAGCTGAAGTGTCTGCCAAAATGCGGAAGGCTGATGGATCTGCACTAGAAGCCAGGAGACGATGTCTAAGATGAAGACAAAAGATTGAAGCTCCTCAAAGAAAGAAACAGCCAAAGCTCTTTTGAAGAAAAGCCACTGAAACTCTGCCGCAAGGAAGATCAGCTGAAATCCTTTCCTCCCATTCGCCTTACATACCATTCCGGCAACCATGCTGACTCAGATCAGCTGGGCATTCCCGCTTAAGTTGACTGTAAGTCAGTTAGCTACCACAGACTGGATAATCTATGGAAGTCCAAGATCAGAGACCAGCAGACTCTGTCTGATGAAGGCCTATTGTGATGGAAGCTGCCTTTGTGCTGAGTCCTTGCATGACGGACAGGACAAACAAACTCTCTCTCTTTGTTTTTTGTTGGTTTTTTTGTACCAGGGATCGACTAACAAACTCTCTTAAGCCTCTTTTATAAGGCCAGTAATCTTATTCATGAGGGTGGCACTCATAGCTGAGAAACCTCCTGAAGGCCCCAACTCTTAATACATTGCAGATAATGTTTCAGTGTATGAATGGAGGACACATTCACCAGACCATTGCACCTAAGTTAGATAATAATGGTAAATTATAAATTTAAAAGCAGGCTTTATTTAAAATTAAAATGATTGTAAACATCAAAAGTAATAAAGATAAATTATATCTCCTGATTTGTGTATACTTTTTTTTTTGGTACCAGAGATCGAACTCAGGTCCTTGCTCTTGCGAGGCAGGTGGTGGAACCACTGAGCTAAATCCCTGGCCCTTGTGTATACTTTTAAGTTAGATTTGTTGTACTGTCCTTATATACTATCTAACATGGTGTTGCTGCGTATAACTAATACCAGCTTGTGTCTTCACCATGTGACCTCAGCCAGTGAGTCTGACAGCATCTAAACTGGTCTATGCTTTGTTAACAAAGTGAGTCCACAGATCTCTCTTGCATTGTAATATCAAACTACCTAAATGTCCCTGAACACTATTTCCATACTATTGTAGACCAAGCAACAATCACAGAACACCTGGAGTAACACTCTTCTAGGAACTATTGGAGAAAATACTGTAAAGAAATGTAGGAATATTTAATAGCTTAAAAGGACAACAGAAGAGTTTCCTGAGGCAACATCTAACTGATTGACAGATTAATTGTGGAGACAGTAATTGTCATAAAAGTCCAGAGAAAGAAATTCCTTCAAGCTAGTGATACCAAGAAAAGCCTTATGGAAAAGGCTTTGAAGTGTTTCTCAAAGAATAATGAGATGTTTAAAGATATAATCAAATTGATTTTATTAGTTACAACATTTTTAAAGTAAACTTAACCATAAATCATACTAGTTAGTAATATATAAGTATGGATACTACTACATTAATCTTAAGGTTGGCCTTTGAATGCAGAAGGAAACTCCCTTATATTTAAAAAAAAATTTTTTAAACAAAATTCTTTATTCTTTTGAATCATCACAAATTTCCTGGTAATTACTGTGTTTGAACCAGATTCTTTATAAGTAGGAACACTGTAAGGTTCCTTTAAAAGCTCTGTTTTGCAGATGTTGTTTGTAATATGGAATCAGTCCTTGCCAGCAGAATAGTTTATGCTGCATCACTTCCTTTGCGAAAGAATTGACTGCAGGATCCTTTGGTAGGGTCATTTTCTCATTGTTTTGCACAATGTGTTTTACCCATTTATGGTGTTACAGCTCTGATTAGTCATGACCAGAAATTACAGGGGAATTATTGTCACACCTGTCAGGTGGTAGTATGGTGATTGTATGCAAGCTATAAATCATTTTCTAAATGCCCAAACCAGTTTTACCTTCTTTAAACATTAGTCTCATTTTAAAATAGTATAGTATCCCTGAATAAAAAAATTTCAAGTTCTCTTGAAAAACCAGAAGTTCTGGCACAACTTGCCCACATTTCAGAATGGGAACCATCTGCCAGAGTAACCACTGTTCACATTTTATAGAGTATGCATGCTTGTTAGAGTCCCCACTATGCCCTACTTGACTCACTTCCTTTCTGTTTCACTTATCTGTCTGGCTTCCTGGCTTCCGTAGACATCTTAGTTTGATTACTGGACTAGGGTGTAATAGTGTAAGTTAGCCAACAAAGTTAAAAACCAAGCCAAAACAAAACCTTCAGTTTTTCTAGCCCCATCAGCTGCCTTTCATAACTTGAATTATGCATCATTTAAAGAACAAAATAATATGTAATTTTGTGGTTGGAATAAATTGAGTGATCTCAGAAATAGATGACTATAATCTGTTTAATTAATTAAATGAAATATGTGTGTAAAATACATAATTATATGTGTATATATACTCTCATACATGTGAGAATAAGGCAAATATGAAAACATTGGCAATTGGAGAATCATCTGAGTAAGGATATTTGGGAACTTTTTCACTGCTCTACAACTTTTGAGTTTGAAATTATTTCAATACGAAAATTATTTTTAAAAGTCAAAGCTAAGCTTCAACCACAGATTTTCAACAGTGAGAAAGATTTTCTTCCCTAAGTGATTTATCTTTTTGTCAGATTTTGAGGAAAGGAAAAATTTAAGGCCAACCTAATTGATACCATCTTTTATGATGTATTTCCCAGAGAAAATATTTTCCTCCAGCTGATATTAGTAATACAACTTAGAAAAATATTTTTGTATGCATTAACTAAAGCAATTTGTATCTGCATCCAGTTGGTAATACCCTGTCATAATGAATGCATTGTTTCTCTGTGTCCAAAGAAAGACTTTATTTGTAAAATATATACATATGGGCTGATATGCAGGCATCCACGTATTAAGTATTTTAAACAGGCACTCATGCTGTGAGCAGAACACAGATTTAAGCCATTTGTTCATTTGTGGTGGTGGAATTGCACTAGTTCATTCTCATTTGATCACCCTTACACTCAATGGTATGTGTCTTCTAGAAGACCTGTCAGGATAAAAACTGTAGTCCACACAACCAGGACAGAGAACAAAAATAAATTGGGCTGGAGATGTAGCTTAATGGTAGGGTGCTCGCGTAGCATGAGGGATAGATCCCCCACTAATAAATAACAGTCCATATTAGAATTCAGTCTCTGTGTTTTCCCCAGTAAACTAAACTATTTACCCCAGATTTGGATAGTGAAAACCCCTTTCAGCTCACTGTAGGGTCTTTGATGTGGCCCTGCTATTCTTTGAGAACTTCCTTATGTTCTGGCTCATTAGCAAACTTCAAGCTCGTCTTGTACTTTCCTTGTTCCAGTGGTGGAGTCAACTACTTCTCCAAACACCTTGATTCCCTTGGTAGAGTGTGGCACTTGGAAGTCAAGATCTAGGTGGTAGGTTTGGTTGTTACTAACATGTCATTTCCTTAGACTTTTTCAGCAAACAGAGCTGGGGAGTAGGCAGGGAATTGTTTATGCACTCACACACGTATACATCTGCAGTTATTCCTCTCTATCTGTGGGTTCCTCAAGCACAAATTCAACTAATTATTGATGAAAAATATTTGAAAAACAATTCCAGAATGTTTCAAAAAGCAAAACTTGAATTTACAGTGCATCAGGCACTATGATTTAAAATATACAGGAGGATGTACATAGGTTATATATAAATACCTCACCATTTTATAAAAGAGACTTGAGAATCTGTGGATTTTGGTACCTACAATAGATACAGGGGTCCTGGGACTAATCCCCGTGGATACCAAGGGATGACTATATGGCTATTTCTATGTCTACTTTAAATATCATGAGTTCATATTGACATCTCTCATTTTAGTTCAGTGCCAAAGAATTTATTTTAGTCTTTCCTTTTACGTATTTGTAGTTATCTTCTTCAGCAGAGAGAAATTTGGCTTCCATTATCCTCGACTTAGGTTCTCAATCCTCTTATATGTAGCTCATTACCCCAGCAGGCAAGGCCTCTGCCTGGACCCCTGGCCCTGTTGGACACCCCAGCCTCATTGGTGGAATCCTTGTCCTGGCCCCACCACACACACAGTGAGCCAGCTGTATTCTAAGCCCTGGCTCTGCTAAATATACTGGCCTTCCTGGCCAAATCCTTGATTTCTTATACTTAGATGAATTATAAGCAAAAACTTGAGACAGAATATTTCCAGAAATTTAAAAATAAGAATATTAATACTTTTAGTTATTCAGTCATATCATCCAGTTTCAGTTCTTATAATATAGAGAATGATGAGATTTGTTGAAGTAAATATTTGAAACATGCCATTCACAAGTAGCTTTAGCTTTTACTTTCCTGAAATGTAATATTAACATTTAGAGAAATTATGTAGTGCTTCGACGAGCAAGGTTGAAGCAGAGGACAGCTACCTTTTGCCTCAGCCAGAAGAGCTTTCCTTTTTTGGCATGTGAAGCTTCAAATGCACAGTCATGGTTGAGGTGACACTTAAACAAAAAATAAATATTGCAGTATTTGCCTTAAATTGGCAACCCATTCACCTACATAAATTCCTTTCTCAGTTTGATCCAGCAATAAAAAAGATTTAATTTCTGCTAAAAGAACTAAGGAAAAAAAATGAGGAAAATTATTTGTTTTTTCCATTTCCTGATGTATTTGATCTGTTTTTAGTTTGACTCATTTTCTTTGCCACCACATTCTTATTCTCTTAGTCCACTTCCTAATGTCTGGTACTCCTGAGTAGAGACAACACTCAGTTATTTTCAAAAGAAGAGATAGATGACTGGTTAAAGTAGAGTACTAAATTGTCCAAATTATGTTTGTCTTTGGGGTGTATTGATTTTTATAGTCTGAATACGGGCCCATTTAACATTTGTAGATTTTAATAATGAATCTCTCAATGGTTCTAAGTCTCTCCTCCCTTTATAAAAACTATCTTGGGTCTCATGACAGTTTACTAGAAATAAGTAAAAATAAAAAGAAA